TTGAGAAATAAAATTTTGAAATAATCGACAATTTTCTCGAATTTTGCAATTTTCGCCGATTAAGTTTTAAAAATTCGTATAAAATCCAGTTCTTGGAATATGAGTATGAAAATCTCTCAAAATGTTAATAAAAGTGTCTTCTTTCCAATGAACCAACCCGTTTAGAAAAATAGCTTTTAGTTTTTAAGAAAATAATATTTGAAGTTTTAATAAAATTTTCGATGTTGCAATTTTCATCGCTAACTTGCAAAATTCGCTATAAAATTAATTTCTTGAAGGATCCTTGTGGAAATATCGCCAATTTTTAATTAAAGTATCCTCATTTTAGAGTTGCTTCGTTAGTTATCAGCATCAAAAAAGTTCATTTTCTATCTTGGATCCAAATAAGTTGACATATCTTATCAGCTTTCTTATTAATTTAATTTTTATTCAAATATCGTAATAATGTGACAATGTGGGATATCACCTCAGAAATGTACTAGAAATTGTAACCATAATGGCCGGATAGATATGCCGGATAACCGGATATCCGGCCGAAGGGGATGCCGAATATCCGTTATTCGGCTTTTCGCAAAATCACTATCCGTTCCATCACTTGAAATTGAGATCAATAGCAGTTAAAGTATCAAAGTCTGATTCAAAGCTGATCGCCTCATTGATTGATACTTCTTTACTGCTTATTAGATTCGTTGTCTTCAACTTCTAAAATGATGGTAAAACTGCTTTCCTGATTCGAAGCCTCTGTAGCGGTAAATACAGTAATACCCCGGTATAAGTCGAATAAGCGTAAATTGGGGTCCAATTTTGCATATAAATGCATACAAGTTATGTTCAATTTGGGACAAGAGACTAAAGAAACAATAATTTAGAAAAAAAAAGTTTAATAAACTGTTACATAATAGGTACATACATCTATTATTATGTACATATTGCAAAAAAAGTAAACAAAGTTTACTTACAAACGGAGTTTACTGCTTACAAAAAAGTTGTTTTGACGTAGAAGGCTTCATAAAATCTACTAATGTCATCTGACGACTTAATTCTTTTTCTTCTCACGCAAAATGTCCTCGTAGCACGCTAATAAATTTTTTATTCCCTGTTTTTTTTTTGTAGAAATACGCATCTTTTTTCAATAGAACTGAGGCCTTCTGCCAAGTTTGCAATCGTCATTTAATCTTTTGATTGAACCTGGTCTAAAGAATTAGATTGTTCAATGTGTTGCTCTTCTTCTTGTTCACGCATTTCTACAAGCTCATCAATTGTCAGCTCCTGATTGTGTGAATCCAGCAGTTCTTGAACGTCATCACCATCCACCTCTAAATTTAATTAGACGCCATTTAAAGTTTTTTGTAAAATTTCATTCCAAGATTGTCATGACTTCTAAAAGTCTTTAATAGAAAGCTCATTGTTTTGTCTCATAGCTTCATGTAGATGCGCAAACGATCGTCTCTTGTAGTAGGTAGTATTCGGTGGCAAAAATACAACTTTCCCACGTGGGTCGAAATTAATTAGAGTTGCAGGAGGATGACCTGGTGCGTTGTCGATTAATAACATCACTGTAAATGGAATTTGTTTTAATTGGCAATAACGTTCGACTTCAGATACGAAGTGATGACCAAACCAGTCTTTAAAAAGAGAAGCTGTTATTTATTATCCAAGCTTTAGCATTCCAGTGATTACGAAATTTTTCGTGATTTTAGAAATGTTCAGTGATTACAACAAACGTTGTCGCAATTTTTTTTTCAAAGTGAGCCTTGACTTTTTGCACGGACAGTATTTTTTTAACAAGACAAAAAATAAGCAATGCAAAGAAACGAAGCGCACTCAACGGCAAGGGAAAAAACCAGTTCTGTATTATTTGTAGTATATTATTCGAGATCTTTTGACGATGTAATAATTTTAATTTTATTATTATTATTTACAAAAATCTTACCGTCGGACGTCCAAACATTCTTAAATGATAACTTTAACGCGGCTTTTTTATATTTATAGATCGCGCCTAAATACTGATAAGTCCTCTCTGATGGTGATACCTGTTGAGTTAAGTTTTCTTTTCATATCAAATATCTTCTTACGATCCCGATAGCTGACGAACTTGACTATTATCGGTCTAGTTGGCTCATTGAAAGGCTCTTTATTTTTTTTACGGTTACTTGTTCGGCTGGTAGATACTTTACCAACACGGTGAGCCCTGTCGATGGCATCAGGGGAAATTAAAGGTAAAGAAACTATAACTTCGCCTGATTAAACATATCATATGAACTTGAAACTCGACAACATACAGGGTGATTCACATAAGAACTGACACTGAGCAGGGACATGTAGAGGACAATAAATTAAGATGTTTAACCCAACTTATCTCTATACTAAGTTGTATCTCTGAGGAGTTATAGGCCTTCAAAGTTGGGTCTTAATTTTTTAAAACATTGAAGTTTTTTATGAAATGAAGTAGTAATGTATTAAATCAGCCAAAAGGTTAAAAAAATCTTTGAAATGCCTCAATTGAGTTCAATTTGCTACCAATTAATACCCTTGGTACACTCACAACGTATACCAAATTTGGTTTTTCTAGCTTAATGTATTATGAAGATATTGAACTTTTCGACAATTTAAGAGGCTACTTTGAAGACCTTTAACTCCTCACCCTGTATTGTAGCGCCTTAACTAAATTAAGGACGGAGAATCTAGAACTTCGCTTAATAGAAACAGAGTTGTAAGAAAAAGTGTTTATAGTAGAAACCACGAGAGCTGGCAGTGACAGATCGCTTAAAAATGGTATGAATCAAGATATGGACGTACGACTTAGATTATTTCACCACATACATTTAAATGAAGGTTATGTTAGTAATGGAGGTTATATGTCAAACATTGTCAAAGATATTATTTAATGATTTTCCTTTCAAAGAAAACATTTTCGGCTTGTAAAAACACTAACAGAGTCATGACAACGCTCACAAGACGTTTCGATTTGAGGTTATAGTTATAGAGTTACATCCCTTAGGCCCACTTTTACCATCCTCCTGATAAACTATCTAGAGGACAGTTGCCATGGTTACGGCGGTTTTAAGCACTCTCATTGGCTAAGAGCTGGATTTATCTATCGGATAAATTTATCAAGAGGTGGTAAAAGTGGGCCTTAGAAGAACAGACATACTTTTTCGACGCAACCATTTGAATTGTACAGCAGACATATTAAACTAATGCTATCTCTTTCTAACACACATTACTCGCTAGCGGTTTGTGAACTACGTATGGCATTTGTAAGAGCGGAAAACGATGATTTACTGCCAGNCTAGTCTAAAGAATTAGATTGTTCAATGTGTTGCTCTTCTTCTTGTTCACGCATTTCTACAAGCTCATCAATTGTCAGCTCCTGATTGTGTGAATCCAGCAGTTCTTGAACGTCATCACCATCCACCTCTAAATTTAATTAGACGCCATTTAAAGTTTTTTGTAAAATTTCATTCCAAGATTGTCATGACTTCTAAAAGTCTTTAATAGAAAGCTCATTGTTTTGTCTCATAGCTTCATGTAGATGCGCAAACGATCGTCTCTTGTAGTAGGTAGTATTCGGTGGCAAAAATACAACTTTCCCACGTGGGTCGAAATTAATTAGAGTTGCAGGAGGATGACCTGGTGCGTTGTCGATTAATAACATCACTGTAAATGGAATTTGTTTTAATTGGCAATAACGTTCGACTTCAGATACGAAGTGATGACCAAACCAGTCTTTAAAAAGAGAAGCTGTTATTTATTATCCAAGCTTTAGCATTCCAGTGATTACGAAATTTTTCGTGATTTTAGAAATGTTCAGTGATTACAACAAACGTTGTCGCAATTTTTTTTTCAAAGTGAGCCTTGACTTTTTGCACGGACAGTATTTTTTTAACAAGACAAAAAATAAGCAATGCAAAGAAACGAAGCGCACTCAACGGCAAGGGAAAAAACCAGTTCTGTATTATTTGTAGTATATTATTCGAGATCTTTTGACGATGTAATAATTTTAATTTTATTATTATTATTTACAAAAATCTTACCGTCGGACGTCCAAACATTCTTAAATGATAACTTTAACGCGGCTTTTTTATATTTATAGATCGCGCCTAAATACTGATAAGTCCTCTCTGATGGTGATACCTGTTGAGTTAAGTTTTCTTTTCATATCAAATATCTTCTTACGATCCCGATAGCTGACGAACTTGACTATTATCGGTCTAGTTGGCTCATTGAAAGGCTCTTTATTTTTTTTACGGTTACTTGTTCGGCTGGTAGATACTTTACCAACACGGTGAGCCCTGTCGATGGCATCAGGGGAAATTAAAGGTAAAGAAACTATAACTTCGCCTGATTAAACATATCATATGAACTTGAAACTCGACAACATACAGGGTGATTCACATAAGAACTGACACTGAGCAGGGACATGTAGAGGACAATAAATTAAGATGTTTAACCCAACTTATCTCTATACTAAGTTGTATCTCTGAGGAGTTATAGGCCTTCAAAGTTGGGTCTTAATTTTTTAAAACATTGAAGTTTTTTATGAAATGAAGTAGTAATGTATTAAATCAGCCAAAAGGTTAAAAAAATCTTTGAAATGCCTCAATTGAGTTCAATTTGCTACCAATTAATACCCTTGGTACACTCACAACGTATACCAAATTTGGTTTTTCTAGCTTAATGTATTATGAAGATATTGAACTTTTCGACAATTTAAGAGGCTACTTTGAAGACCTTTAACTCCTCACCCTGTATTGTAGCGCCTTAACTAAATTAAGGACGGAGAATCTAGAACTTCGCTTAATAGAAACAGAGTTGTAAGAAAAAGTGTTTATAGTAGAAACCACGAGAGCTGGCAGTGACAGATCGCTTAAAAATGGTATGAATCAAGATATGGACGTACGACTTAGATTATTTCACCACATACATTTAAATGAAGGTTATGTTAGTAATGGAGGTTATATGTCAAACATTGTCAAAGATATTATTTAATGATTTTCCTTTCAAAGAAAACATTTTCGGCTTGTAAAAACACTAACAGAGTCATGACAACGCTCACAAGACGTTTCGATTTGAGGTTATAGTTATAGAGTTACATCCCTTAGGCCCACTTTTACCATCCTCCTGATAAACTATCTAGAGGACAGTTGCCATGGTTACGGCGGTTTTAAGCACTCTCATTGGCTAAGAGCTGGATTTATCTATCGGATAAATTTATCAAGAGGTGGTAAAAGTGGGCCTTAGAAGAACAGACATACTTTTTCGACGCAACCATTTGAATTGTACAGCAGACATATTAAACTAATGCTATCTCTTTCTAACACACATTACTCGCTAGCGGTTTGTGAACTACGTATGGCATTTGTAAGAGCGGAAAACGATGATTTACTGCCAGCTCTCGTGGCGTCTACTATATAGATTATGACTTTAATAGCAAACTTTTGGTGATTTCTATAAAGTTATCATACCTGTAAGGAGTTAATAATGTTAATAGTAAACAGTAGTGATGTAAAATTATCGGTAATTTAAAAAACGGTAATATTACCAGTAATGTTACGTAATATTACGGTAACATTGGTAATTTGTAAATAACAGCTTTTTAAGTAATACAAGTTTTTCTTATTTCAAAACTCTAAAAACATTACGAAAAACAACAAGAACGTTTTTTAAACTAGTCAGAGTCACAATGGACTATGTAATAGAGTGGATAATGGTAAATCATCCTCATCATCATCTGGATCATCCCCAACCTCGTCATCTGAATCTTCTTTCTCTTTCGTTAATTGAGTAAAGTCTATAACTTCGAAACCGATATCTTCTTTTTCTATTTCTTCTTCAGTAGCTTCTACTATTTTTGAATGATCGTCTTCATATAGTAAATTATAATTATGGGCAATATAAGTTAGTTTTCCGGCCCTCTCCACGGTAAGTCTGTTTCTTCTTTGCCGATGAATAAATCCGTAAGTACTAAAGGTTCTTTCGGTTGCGGCTGTTGACGGTGGTAAATTTAAAATGTCTACAGCCAAAACCTACTTATTTTAGAACTGGAGCAAATTCCTGCCCACCAAACAGGTCCAGCCATACATTTTTCGCTGGAAATAACGAATTCCTTAGCAAAATTATTACCTCTAATTTTGTACGGTGCGAGTGCTTCCATAATAAGATCTACTTGTGAAGAATACTTTGGATGATGCCTTGCAGTTTCATAGATGAACTCCGTTGCAATTAAATTTTCATCTTCAGTTAAATTGTCGCCGCGTTGATTTGGTTCTAATAGGTAAGCAGCAAGATGAACGGGTTTTAAACATTTATTTTGTCGTTTTTCAAGAATTGAATACATTTTCTAGTATTCCAACATAGTAATAGATAAATTTGATACTTTGTCACATAATATAGATCTTATTTCAAAAAAGCAGATAAACACTTTTGAGATTGTTAGCCCGTTAGCTTCAAAAATCCTTATCCACTTAGTGATTGGCTGGAACAAGTCATAAGTTGCTTCTATTTGTAACCAAAATTCGTTTTGATGAAACTGTTTTGATACTGTATTTGATGAAAGAACATCAGAAATATCTGGGCTATCATCAACTGCTAAACTTTTTAATGAATGTTTAGTGTCCAAAAAGCTTTTTAGACAACAAACAAAGGAACAATGCTTTTAGACAAAGGAGATGTGTCGCCCCGTTTTGTCTAACTGGATTTTTTCAAACGTTGCATGTAAAATCTGCGAATTTTTCAGCTCAGATACAATTGAAATTATATTCTTTTTAAAATTGGAAAAATGGTCTAATTTCAAGAAGACTTCAACCAGAAGGTTTAGACCGTAGTAAATACAACCATAATTAGTAATGTAATCGTACTTGCTGCTAACTATTTCACGAGCCTTTTTTATGTTAGCTCTGTTGTCAGTGACAATAGCTGGAAAAGTTGAAGCTCCTAATTCTTTCAACACTTTTTCAATTTCTGAGGCCAAAAATGTTGCTAAATGTCTGTTATTTTCGGTGTGTATTGATTTGTAAAATACCGGAAGAGGTGTATTAATAACAAAATTAGATATAGAGTCATTTCTGCAATTTGACCATCCATCCATTTGTAGGCTTAAGATAGGTGCTTCACTAATTTTTGAAGAAACTGCAGCTTTTACTCTAGTGTACTCGGATTCGAGGAGTGGATTTGACAACTGGTAACGAGAGGGTGGTTTATATGCGCATCTCATTGCTTTGAATACATCTAACCATACTTTTTTCGTTGTCATATCTAAGGGGGCTCCTGAGACATAAATAGCCCTTGCGAGTATTTCATCAATCTTATTGTTTTCTTGAGAGGACATGTTATCAAAATACGAAGAAATTGTACCCTTTGATGCTTTAGTAGTACTTGAAAATGAAGAACTAGCTGATGAAGGCACAGGCCTGACTAGTGAAGCAATTTCTGAGTCTAAAGATTCTCCCTGCCCCTGCTGAGAGGTAGTATCAGTATCATCAGCATCACTATCTTCTAATACCTCGGTTGAACTTGGCGTGGTGTTATTGTTACTACTGGAAACATTTATTATAGGCAATTTCCCTTTTTTAAGAATTTGTACTACATTTTCAGGTATTTTGACACATTTTAGCAAATGTTGGAATTGTCTGGTAGCATTTCTTTTAAAGGAGGTTTTACAATATTTACAGAAATAGTTGTCTTTATCTTTAAGATCGTAGTACCTCCAAACATCACTGTTCGGCTTAACCATATTATCGCAAATACAAAATAAACATCATGCATTTCGGGAAGAGCTCAACTTAAAAATATCTAGACTTACTAGTTCAAATATCACATAACAAGGCAAAACAATTACAGTTATTTAATAGGAATCGCACTGATAGTTATAAACAACACCTTTTATAGCAATAATGTCACTAATTATGATGAAGATTGTTTACAAAATATCGCTTGCCGCTTGTCACGGGGAACCATGGAATTATCACAAGTTAGATTTCGGGTATTCCCCGATCGATATGTGCGGCCGCGCGGCGCCAATGACGCCATGTACAGCTGGGCAAATAAATGAGAGTGTAGAGCGAAAAAAAAAACAATATTTCCAATGTTACCGATCTTGCGGTAATATTACCAAAATTACCGGTAACATTTCCTCGGTAATATTACCCTTTACATCACTAGTAAACAGTTAATAATTCATAATTTTTACGTTTTTATTTTATTTAATACTGAGGTAATTTATTATAACAATTTCTTTTAGCTCCTACATTAAGACGACCACATACATCGATTGATGAAGTCCCTAAGGAAAAATCTAGACTTATCTATTCAATTGAATTTTTGGCCAGATTAGCAATGAGTCCTTTGTGTTTGTCTCCGCCCATTGATCTCGAACGTATCACCAATCAACATCCGACTTTAATTAGAAAGGTATGTTAATATCTTCGATTTATTTTTTTTGATTAATTAATCATTTATCTATTTCAGCTTGTGGAAATGTTTGATGCAAAACAATATCTTACAAACCGTATGGGTGAGCCATTAACAGTTTTAAGTGCTGATGAAGTTGAAGCGGCTGATGTTTGACGTAAACAACGCCGCAATTACAAGTAAAAGAATCTCCTCTGTTTATAAAAATATCCCCCCAGACTTAGTAGGTTTGTGTTTTGTTTTTCATATATTTTTTTTCATCTTTCGTTTTGTTAGGTGTTTTTAGAAAGATTTACATATAAAAGTAAGTCTCTAGTAATTCTTTCTGTCTTTTTGAGAAGTTTTTCGATATGATAAAGTTTTAAAAGGAAACAATAATGCTCATTTTGTAAGATGAAATGAAAATTTAAAAAAAAAGAAATGAATGAAATAGTTGATAGGAAATATAAACTTATAAAATATATTTTAAAGATTTAAAATAACTATGTTTTGTTTTGTTTGTTTCAAAATTTATTATTAAAGAAAATGTTAACGTTCTTGGATAGTTAAAAAAATTTATAAAAATATTTAAAAGAAAAAAAAAATCGAAAATTTAGTTCACTAAATTATTTAATTTTTATGTTTATATATTTTTTGTTGACTCTCTGGTTTTTTTTTATTACTATTGATATAGTTTTAGTTTGAATCTAAACATTTGTAGGCTTTAATATTTATATACGATAATAATAATCCTATTGTTTTTTTTATTTAAAACAATAATGGTTTTATCTATTTAAAACAAAAGTATATATATTTTTTGTACACTTCAATTTGACACTGGAAATAAGTCATCCACTAGTTACTATTCTGGTAACGCTGTTTTAAATAAAAATTGTAAGCAATAATTTACATTCACTTAAAATGATTTGATGAATATCACATAAAAATCATATCTTGTCCTAAAGTAATACCTAATATTTATTTAAAGTTAAATAACAGTTACTTTTTTGTGAAGGTTTACTTTCTCTTTCTTGTTCGAATTAAAAAAATCAAAATAAGAAAAGTTTCTTTATTACCTTATTTCAAAATATTTCACTTCCTTAATTAAAAATTTTATTTATTATTTATTGTCTAGGAAAAGAAACCGATAATCCAGAAAATAAATAATAACAACCAACGTTAAACACTGTCTAAATATGCCTATAACCTTAGAAAATAAATCGTCTTTGCCTATATCAAGTAACTCGTCTTTGAATCCTGGAATTTACCACAATGGCAAAGGTGCCAAAACTTTGGTCACACAAAAACTTATCATTACTGATTTTTCCCGTCAAAAACGATGTGATGATGCCAAATATGTTAACTGCGATGAAAATCATCCGGTTAATTACAAAGGCTGTCTTATTTATAAATAATTGCAAAACAAACATTTCCCGTCTCTACGCAATAAATATGTAAAAATCCCCCAAGAGACAAAAAATAAGTGTGTACTACTCGCCAATACGCAACAATGTAGTTTGTAATGATCAAATTAGAAGCGCTAATATCCCAAAAGACGCAGAATTAAACCAGCAACAAGAATCCCAAAATACACTCTCTGCATTCTCTATATCAAACAATTTTAAACACATTATACATAAAGGAATGGAGAGAATGGACAAAATGTTCGACCTCATAATTGCTTTATGGTGTGTTCCCACGGGATGTGAAAACGAAAGTGTATCACGCCTTCATACTCGATTTTGTGCATGTGCCTGCCAGTTCGAAGGAGTTATGGTGATTAATACCAAATTTATTTAAAAAAGGCATGTTATGTTTAACTAGTTTTTTTAATTTATTATTATATGGGATCGTAGGGTTATTCTTGATTTCTGTTATAAAGTTAAGAGCAAAGAAATTTTCAGTCTTGTTTACATATTCTATCCTGTCTAGACAGTGCCAGCTCCCTTATCACCTTTTATTTTGTGTTTGAGGGCGTTGAGTTTTTTGTAAATATCGTTGGTAAATTTCTTTGTGTAATATCTGGGATCCTTGCAGATATATATGTCAACAAATTTGAACAGATACTTTTTTCTAACAAATATAAGCTTTTCACAAAAGATATCATTTTTTATATTGGATATGTTAACTAATTGTTTATAAAGGTAATCCCGCCAATCTGATAGCAGTACAGAATATCTTTAATAATATTACCAACTTGGAATTCACTATCGAAATGGAAAAAGACAATATGATTAACTTTCTAGACTTAAACATTACCAAGAATCTTTGTAATCAAAAACTTGAATTTAATATCTTCAGGAAAGACACATTTACGGACAATGTCATTGCCAACAATTCATATAATCTTAGACAACATAAACATGCCAGTTTTCGATTCATGTTTAACAAAATTTATAACATCCCTTTGAACGAAAATAATCGAGAAGAGGTAGAAATCAAGAAGATAATTACTATTGGTATTAATAATAACTACTCTATAAACATTTTACAAAATATCTATAATAAGATCCATAGTTCTAGAATTAACAACTTCATTTATCCTAATATAAAAAGCAACTCAAAATTCCTAATACTTCCATTAAAAAAATTTAATTTATCCCCTGCTTTTGTATCTCATAACAAAATTAGCAACTTTTCAATTAATAATAAAACCAAACATAGAAAAGAGGAATTAAGTGGTGTTTATCAGATCGATTGTCCGGAATGCAATAAAATATATATCGGCCAAACGGGAAGAAACATATACACTCGCTTCAAAAAAACACTTGTCTAGTTCAAGATCCGCCGTTCATAAACGCATACAAGAACATAAACACAGAATACAATTTCAAAATGTCAAATTGATTATAGGTCTAAAAAAGTCAAATGAACTGAACCTTTATGAGGAATATAATATAGGTCTACACAACAAAGACAATATACTTATGAACGACATTGCTGACTTTGATACTAACAGATGTTTCCACGATTTTCTTTAGATCCACTTTATATACTGTGTCGTATGCATTCTGTTATGCATACCATTTCCATTTGAATTTCTTGTTGCTGCCTGTCCTGTTTTCTCTTCCTGCAAACGCGCATGCGATTATAAATCTCGTCAAAACCAAAAAATTCCACTTTCAATTGGTCCTTTCTTGTCAATCATATAGGTGTATGTCCTGCCATCGGTTCCATACGATTAAACTAAAGAATTTTTAATTTTAACTCCGTCTAATACGAATTTTTTAAAATATAGTTTAGTGATAGTTTTATTTTAATTTAACGCTTAGTAAGTTGTCTTTTCCAAATTTTAACCTGTTTTACTTTCTAATATTAAGCCATTTGTTTTTAACGTTTTTAGTTTTAACCGTACAAATTTTACTTTTAAATATTTCAACCTGATGATTTTTTCTTCAATCGACAACTCTTGATGGTAAATTTAATTTTAATTTGTTTGTTTTTTTCTAATTAACTGTCTTAATGAAACTTATTTTTACTCTGTCTCTAGTCGTGCCAGATGAAGATCGCATAGTTCGATCGAAACACGTGTAGCACCGAAAATAAAAATTAAATATATTTTTCATCGTCTCTAAGATTTCTTATTTTTTAAATAATTTTACGATGAACCTGGAAATAACACTAACTAAATTTGGTAAAGGCAACTGCTGAATAAAATGCCAAATGCAGAACTGTAGAGCACAATAAGCAATACACTATTTTGTATAATTACTGATTGTCCGAAACTTTACCGGCGAAAAATAAACGAAAAAGTCTTAATACTGTAAAGTATCGGACGAACTGTCGTTGCTGGGCGAATGAAAGAATTCATCAAGTCAAACCAGAAAACTCCAAACTGCTCACTATCGGCTATTTTCTTTAACTCCTTTCAATATGAAATCCTCAGGTTCTTAAATTTTTAAATAAAGTCTTTCCGTCCAAATCCAGGAATATTGAGCAAGCTTCTCTCAGCTGCTGCCATTCTCAAATCTCGGTTTCTATAGTTGTTGATTGTTGCATCATACAACACTGGTTCACTAGCATACGTGAACAAATTCACGACAAACATCAAACCAGTTTGATATGAAGCGTGAACATCACTCTTGCCTGTGGCGGCAGCAAATATTCCACGATATTTTGTTCACATGGAGGGTGTTACTCGAAAACGTGCCTCTGTGGAAACTCGGGTTTAATCTCAAAACTTAATGTACAACAATAAAAAAAAGTATGGGAAGCTAACGGCTTGACGAATTATAAGCAACAAATAAAGTTGTCTAAATAAATCTCCTAAGCACATATGACAAAATTAAGTTAGTTTAAGCTGACGAGACGTGCGTATATAATTATTACTCGAGGACACACGTTGGGTATTTTTTATCCATTTTACGTATAATAATAATAATTTATTTCCAAAAAATTCAAAAGTTACAGGTCGACAGATAAAGTATTTGTATATCATAATGTAATTCACAACATTATAGAAAATATAATAATACAGAATATATGACAAGATTTCTACACGTTCAGTTTGGCCGGCGAATTCATGAACTCGCTGATACCGTAGTATGGGTTTTCACCAAAGTGCTCCTTTAATCTCTTTTTGTAATGGACCATTGAGGTAGTTGTATCTATAAGTTTGTTATAAAATTTTATACCCTGGTAATATATCGATCGTTGACAGGTAGTCAGTCGGTGTCGGTGGTATGGAATTTATAGAGATGAGTATATTGCGCTCTACACGACACATCATTCATGTTTTGTTTCATGAAAATAAGACATCTATAGATATACAGCGAATAGACAGTCATTATTTTTAATTCTTTAAACAATGGCTTACAGCTCTCCATTTGATTTGCATTCATCAACGCTCTAACTCCTCTTTTTTGTATTATAAATATTCGTTCAGCTTCTGGGGAACGTTCCCAGAACAACACATTACAAGACATAATGCTTTGGAATCTTATCACTGTTCTTAGCTGGAAAACTGCTGAACTGAGTTTATTTCCAACTTCATGTATCTGTGTATTCCATTTCAGAGAACTTTCTAGGAGTACTTCTGGTAGCTTAGCAGCTGTTGCATCAGTGTGAAACTTAATTCTTCTGTATGTCGATCTGCCACAAACGTAACAGAAATTGTTTATATTGCAAACCATTTTATGCGCCACAAATACTGGTTTTTCCACCGTAAACACAACAAACAAATCACTAAGTCGCAAATAAACACACACCAAACAAATCACTAAGTCACAAATAAACGATGCTCTGCCAGATGTTCACTGTTTGAGGAATATTCTCGAACTAAAAGCTACGGACTTATGTACTAACCCACCTGAACATCTAACTTCTATCCTTCTATCTGTTCGTTTTTTTACCTGTAAGACTTTCTTGTTTCTTTGTTATAGTGAAGGGTGATGAATGGACTCCCTGTACATACGTCCTGTAAGTCTACTGTCCGTTTTAAGTCATTTTTCATAAAATGTTTTAACCCTAGAATACTATAGTGGTTTTGATATACGTGAATACTATACTGTCGTAAACTTTACGATCATTAAAAAAACATTATATAGAAAGCGCGTTTTTATTACAAAATATGTACAATCTATGAAGATATCTTGCTTACGTATTCAGTAACACAATAATATATAATAAACCTTATATTCTTAATGCGAGGCGAATTCGGTGCAGTAATTTCCACGATGCGTTACACAAAATGCCTTTCTACACTGCACACAATAGGTGGTGGTCATTCGCCTTAATTTGCTCGGGCAGTAAAAACAAATTGTACGTTTTTTGTCTTGAGGAACCGTATTTTCATCCACCATATCTACCTTGAGTATTTCGCAAATGTTTTGGCGTAATTTCGACGCAAACTTGGAACGCTTATTCTGTGCTCCATCCACGGCTTTGCAAGGCGATAGGCCAATTCAATCACAAATCCTTCCCGTGATAAAGGTTTTTCGCCCCTCTTAAACGTATTGTAGCAATATACTATATATGAATTAATACTGACTGAATTTACCATTCCGTAAAATACACATAACGGCCATCTTCTGGTTTTTCGACTGCAACTCATATTTGAAGAAAGCTGATCAAACGTATCGACCCCTCCTTTGGTTTCATTATAATTAAGAATCATCATTGGTTTACCATTTTCTTCTGAAATTTCCGCTCCGTCATGCATCGTGGATAGCAATAAAACGATTTTACTTTTTTTCGGTTCGTAAGACACCAATGTTTTGTTTCGGTCAAAACAAGTTTTAGGATTCCTTCCTTTCGTTTCTAATAGTTATGGGGGTATCGCCCGTTTTTTTCTTTTTTGTTCCTAACATCCTAAGTTTATATGGTTTTTATAGTAGTTCATCAGCAAGGTCAACCGAAGTGAACCAATTGTCCATCGTGATATTTCGATTGCTGCCGTGAACAGACTTTGTTAGTTCTTTTACAAAATAATTTGCTACTGGTAAACCTCCAGTTTGCGTTCCCTTTCCTAAGTATGGACATGCGTCAACTAGATATTTTAATGAAGAATCACATAGCATCACTATCTTTATGCCATATTTAGCTGGTTTAGTAGGTATATATATTTTAAAAGGGCACTTGCCGCGGAAGCCCAGAAGTTGCTCGTCTATTGTCAAATAAGACGATGGCGTATACGACGTTCTGCAGGTGTCGATGAATATTTCCCATATTTTACGTATATGTGTAAAAGGATCATCTTGCTTTCTCGCTTCTCTACTTTCTTTATCATCAAATCTAAGACAATTAACTAGGAAGTTAAAACGTTCGTAACACATGCAACTTTTAAAAATGAACCCGAAATAGCAGAATCAAACATCCGTTTGACGTGAAGATGATTATCTTTTTTCACGGCAGAAAGTAGCAGTACTGCAAAAAATTCCATTAATTCCTCCTTAGAAACATGTGAGATCCAGGCTTCGGCATATTTCGCAGATTGTCTGGTAATTTCTTCATTAGTGTGTTGAAGAATTATATTCAATATATCATTGGAAATAAAATGCAAGAAGTGATCCTCAACAGTTAAACACTCTTTAGCTTATTATATTTCGACTAGCTGTTCTTTTAGATCTTTGCGGTAATTTAGCTGACCATTTATGTCCGTTTTTTCCCTTGAGATTAGTTGTATTGGGCAAAATTATACTCTTCTCCTTTCGGGGTATTTTAGACAATGGGAGATGTTTCTTGTTCAACGTTTTGTGGTGCTACTGTTGAACTACGTACATCAGCAACATCTATGGGAACATTTGTAGTCTCTTGTGTGGAAAAAACTGGGGAGTCATAGCGTGCAGTTCTAACATCCTCATCCAAATTGGTATCATCATCTGAAATAGACTCATCGACTTCTAAATTATATTCTTCCCAATCACTTCCGCTATCACTATAAGGTTCTGAATTACTTTCTTCTCCATTCATTATTCGTTCAATTTCCATTTGTAATTCAAGTTCAGACAAAGGTCTTTTGGACATTTTACTAAAAGTTTTAGATATTTTGCCGTATCATGAACAAAAAGCTTACTTTACCTGAATACAAAATAGTTTTCGCTTCACTATAGAGAAGAAATACGGCCAAAAACTACCGTAAAAACATGCCAACTTTAGGTGATCATAAAAAACCCCGAGTTTTACTTTCATTTACCATTGGAACCAACCGGGATGGTTTTTCTTGTTGCACAGTGTAATTGTTCAAAATATAAGATATGTAAAAATAATAAAAAACAAGAGCACATTCAATACTTTCATGAATATATTCGTAATCTGGGAACTTGAAAACATAAAAATTTGCAGATATCCAGGGCAACAAAAAAAATTTTTTTGTTGTAGAGCTGTGTAATGAGGATAATTTAGCAAACTTGCAACGCACGCTTCGTTTTACGTCACTAAACATTGACACTGGAGTTGGGAGCGTTTAAGAGTCACTTTTCTAAACTGGCCAGTCCTTGGTTATATTAAAGAGATTTAGATTGCAGTAATAAATGAGATTAAAAAAAAAATTAAAAAAAAAATATTTATTGATTCATTATTGAAACGTTAAAACATTTTCATTTTCATTCATTTCACAATCTTCCCTCCTATCTAATCTTATATGAAAATTAACAACATATTCCATGTTTGTTCTTTGAACGGAAATTGCAAATGGATCAGTTGGATGGAACGTAAAAGCTACCAATCTTCTAGCTGGTGGTGTTTGAGCTCTATTTAAGCTCCCCGCGTAAATTTTAAACTTCAAAAACCCCGAATCACGGGCATAAAACCTTCAAAAAAGTAATTATAATTAAAAGAAATATATTAAATAATTATTTTTGGTTACCTAATTGGATGTTCTCCGCAAGGTTTTGGTCTCTCCATAACAGAAACCCATTTATCATCGTAACTAAAAAGTGATAAATCCAAATAAGGCGAACTGTTGTATGATTGTGAACTAATTGGTAACTGTGCAAGAATTCTTTTTGTGGCTTCGGTTTCCCCGCCAAATTTCGCACTGACGATTGTCTTTTGAAACCTTTCTTGAATTAATCTAGCATAAATATTATTGGAAGGACTACACGTGAATTGAACTTGTTTAAAAATGTTTGCGTTTCGAAAATAATCGCAAAAATCTTCGAATAATTTTAATAAAGCGGCCGAAGTATTTTCATAAACCGCCAAAATTTTACTTTCAACCATATTATAAACAACAAAAAACGACGGCAAACTATTCGCATCTATAGATTTTTGGGTAACAACTTCTTCGCTAGCATACTTCATGAGCAAATGGTCTTCATCTAAAAGTTGCATTTTCCATAACCGTAAACTTTTAAAGTTTTCGAAATATTGATAAAATTTTCTTAATTCGTATGGGTTTTTTGTATCTAAAGTTATACATTTAGCTCGTTTGTATAAAAATACCAATAATCGATGTTTTAACGTATTTATAAACGGTTCTCGAAATTTTCGTTCCGTTGGAAAAACTGAGTTGTAAAAGTACAAATCATCCTCAAAACAAAATCTTCCTATTTTTCGTACATCGACAAACATTCCATCAAGAATTTGAAAAATATGAATTACTTGGTGTTGCACCGAGAGGACAGCTAATGTATCTTTGTAAAGGTATAATCCCTGATTGTGTGACAAAAAAATTTTGTCAACTTTGAAACGGCGTGTATCACATAGCCTTCCAGCTTTTAAATCAACTAAATGTAAGGTATAATCTTCTAATGGTGATCTAAAATGATTTTTTAATGAAAATTGAAACTTTTTAAGGATTTTTTTTGGAAAAATTCAAGAATCATCATGTGGCTTAAAAATTGACCCAAAACATATGTTAAAAATAAAAAGAATGTGCGGAGAAATGTAGAACATATCGAAAAATTACAACATTTCTAGTTCTTGGTCTAGTGTTAGTACAATAAAAATATCCAACAGAGTGATATCTTATGCTAACTAGCCCTAACTACCATTGTCACTAGAACTGATATTAGGCCGTGCGTCTCTTAAGACGGCTAAACCTGAATGTTTCTAGTTCTAGGTCTAGTGTTCGTTCTACTTTTCTTTCAATAAAAATATACTACAATTTAATGTTAAATAACATTTAAAACTAGAACTAACACTAGACGTAGTACTAGAAACATTCAGGTTTAGCCGCACGTCTCTCAAGACGGCTAAACCCGAATGATTCTAATTCTAGGGTTAGTTCTAGTTTTAGTGTAATAAAAATATGTAACATAGTGATATCTTATGCTAACTAGCGCTACCTACCACTGCCACTAGAACTAACACTAGACCTAGAACTAGAAACATTCGGATTTTGCCGCACGTCTCTCAAGACGCATGAAGAATCGCATGAAAAATTAGAAGGAATGTGCAGTTGCAGAAATAAGGGATAGGGGCGCAATTTATTTCCCATATTTTTTTTTGTTTTGATCTTTTCACTATTTTAACCTCAAAATTAGAATCTACGGCAAAATACATAAAAAAACTCGTTTTCAAGATAAATAATACTAAGCCCCGTTACTACCAAACCAATGCTATCTATTAGTTAAGCTATCTATAAGATACAATTTATCTCGTAGATAACAAGGTCGTGCGTACTACCACCTCCATTTATCTCATAGTTAAGAAATCCTTGAGATAACCAAGAAATCTTGGGATTTTTTTGTCGATTATGTTAAATTGACAGCTCTATGTGATCAAAAGACCTACTATTAGGTATTTTGACGATATTTTAACCTGTTCTAACCTTAAAATTTAAATTTGAAAATGGAGACTGACAAAAGGCGACGAACCACCAATTTCACAAAAGAAGAATGCGAACATCTTGTTGAATTTGTTAGCAAACATAAAAACGTAATAGAAAACAAAAAAAGTGATGCAGTATTGTATCACTTTTAACATACCATTATTGTATGTTAAAATGTGATGGTAAACAATATATTTATGTCAATTCTTTTGAAAGATCTGGATAGAAATAGCTCCGGACTAACGGCGGTAAGTAGGATTTGCCGGGATGCAAAAGGCGTTAAAGCCAAGTATGATATGTTAAAGAAACAAGTGAGAAGTAAATGTACTCAAATTCGACAAAACGCGATGAAAACTGGTGGTGGGCCTAATCAGTTGAATTACATAAACCAACAGAAGTTAACAACAATTGGACCACATGGAACCCACAAAACCTTAGGAAAAGGAAATGTCGTGTGTTGGATGTGGGTTCAAAGCCAAGTAAGTTAGATTCTTGTATGTAATATTACTTTAATACATATGTATACTTGTTTACAGAAACCGCAAACAAATCTATCCGTGATGGATATAACCACTTGAATAAAAAGAGACTGGAATTAACTGAATTGCTTATTAAACAAGCGAAAGAAGAGCATGAAAAGAAAATGGAATTGCTGGACTTACAATTAGAAATAAAAATAAAAAGAAAGCAAGCAGCATTACTTTAAAATTAGAATTGATCTGATTATCTAATTACACAGGTTTGCGATGAAAAAAATACAAGAGAATTGATAACTAAACTTTATAAAAAAATACACAACGTTCAGCTATCAATTCCTTTGTATTTTTTCCATTTCCAATTCCCTTGTAAAAAAAAAAGTAATTTAAGAAAATAAAAATTTATTTACATTATTACTACATTTATTTTTAGTGAAAAACTAGCGGTATCTATAAGATAAATACAGTGGTAGTAACCAATTTTTAAGCTATCCGATAGATAACGCTATCAGAGACTTTAACTATGACTGGTAGTAGTGGGCCTAAGTAAAATACTGCACACAAACATATGTATTAATTTAACAAAAATAAAAAGTTTAACTTAAAACATTAACAAAAAGCGCTTAAATTTTTAACAAATAACACCAAAAAAAGTTATAATTGTTCAAAAATTCCACCATCCAGGTCGATGCAACATCTCACTCGTTTAATTAATGAACGTCTTTCTTTCCAAAAAATACCTTGTTTGTTTCGAATAGCATTACAACCGTCCCTTACACGTTGTTCTAGCTCTTCAACATTGTGAACTGGTATTGCATACACTAAATATTTAAGGTAACCCCAGAGAAAGAAGTCTATAGGATTCAAGTCCGGCGAACGTGGGGGCCATGCTACGGGCGCTCCTCGACCTATCCATCTTTCACGGTAGGTTTCATTTAAATATTGCCGTACTTGAACGCTGAAATGAGGAGGAGCCCCATCACGCATAAACCACATTTCCCTTCGTGTTTGATACGACACTTCTTCCATCAGTTCAAACAAGGTATTTTGCAAAAAGTTAAGATAATTTGTACCGATGAGACGGTTATCAAGTACATGCGGACCAATTAAATGATCCCCAATAATACCAACCCATACATTAATAGAAAATCTTTTTTGATGTTTCGTGGCTAAAACATTCTATGGGTTTTCATCGGCCCAAACATGAATATTATGGAAGTTAATGACGCCATCTCGGGTAAATCCAGCTTCATCGGTAAACATTTTTTCCGGAAAATTTCTGTCATGGCGCCATTGTTCCATAATCCAACGACTGAACTGTAGTCTTGGGATGCTATCGGTGGGTTTTAAGGCCTGCACATTTTGGAAATGATATGGATGCAGTAGCTAATCTTTAAATAAAACGGTCGTTTTCGGCACAATTTCTTGTACCGATAATCTCCTAGTGCTTACCCTAGGATTGATAGTTACTGCATCGAGCACCTTTTCTTCCACTTCTACAGTCCTCATAGTGCATGTCCTTCCACAGTCGTAACGTTAAATTTTCCTTAAAGCACCAATTTCACACAATCTTCTATGAATAGAAGCGAACGTTCGTTCACAGGGAAGTTGTAGATTTGGATATATTCTGCGTACAATCTTCGTGTTTCACTGGCATTTCCATCAGCTCTACCGTACGTAAAGTGAATGTTTGCCATCTCTTCGTTTGAGTATTGAAACATTTTGATTTAATTAAACGTAAATTACAATAATGGTTTTTGCACTAAAATATGTTTTTATCGACCGCTTGACAGCAAAGATCAACAAATGAAAGGAGCCTACTAAGATTTTTAGTGATAGTTTAATACACCTGTTTGTGTGCAGTATTTTACTTAGTATTATTTATCTTGAAAACGAGTGGTCGTAGACTATTTTATAAGCAGAACTTTTTTTTTGTATTTTTTGCCGTAGATTCCGTAGAGCAAAAAATTTCCGCAACTGTACATTCCTTTCTAATTTTTCATTCGATTACACAAGGAAACAGCATTTTTGTTGCATGAAATATTATGACTAATATTATACTTTCTCTGAGTGCTGATTTCAGATCTGAAGGCAGATTGTTCGTATCAGCTTCAATTTTTGAGATATAATAATTGAAACGCGTTTTTTAAGAAAAATCTATATTTTATTAAGAAACTCATTACAAAAACAACCACTACTTATCAAAAAATTTTCTTTTATAAGATTTTCTTGCTTGACTTGGTTCAGGAGGGCTGTTTTTAATGCTCCAACAATAGTCTGCTATCATGTGAGCATTCCAATGACCCTGGTAACGTTCCTCCATAGCTCGAATGTCTTGATGGAACCGTTCCCCTTGTTCTTCACTCAAATCACCAAGATTTTCAGGGAAACGGCCCAAATGACTGTGGAGGAAGTGTACCTTGATGCTCATATTACATCTAAGCTGCTGGAAGTGTAACAACATCAGCTCAATATGCTCCGCATAGATTTCGTCCTTTTTGTTTCCTAGAAAATTTTGTGCAGTCCAAACGAATTCATTCTAGGCATTTTTTTCAATATCAGTCATGTAACTATTAAAGTTTTCATCCTTTATCAACCTTCTTATTTGAGGACCATAAAAAATTCCGGCTTTAAGTTTCTCTGTGCTCAAGTTATGGAACTTTTTAGCGATGTATTTAAAACACTCACCACCCTTGTTTAGAGCTTTGACAAATTGTTTCATAAGCCCTAGTTTGATATGTAAAGGTGGCAGTATTATACGATCCCTGGACACAAGGGGTTCATTTATCACATTCAGCTTTCCCGGAACCATAGTTTGCCTGGAAGGCCAATCTTTTCTAACCCAGTGCTCAGACTTAGCTCTGCTGTCCCACAAACAAAAAAAACATGGATATTTTGTATAGCCCCCTTGTTGTCCAAGAAGAAAATTCACCATCTTTAGATCTACACATATCAGCCACTTGTGTTCGTCGTACTTGATTTTATCCATAACAGAAGCTACAGTAGCATATTCTTCTTTGACTGTACTTGAATGTGCAATCGGTATCGAACCCAGTTTATTGCCGTTATGCATAAGTACACATTTTAGGCTACGTTTAGAAGAATCAATAAATAAACGCCAGACATTTGGATCATACTTCTGTACTCCCATTGCTTTCAATAAACCAGGAACATCTGAACAAAAAGCAAAGTCGTCATCTTTAGCAAAGAATGAAAGCAATTCTGTCTCTCGGTTACGATAGTATGAAATTCTTGTTTCCGGGGTTACAAGATTTCTTTGCTTTAATCGAGAAGCTAGAATCTCCGATGCTTTTTTAGAAAGACCAAGGTCTCTGACTAATGCACTGAGGTCTTCCTGATTAAAGGGTTGAGGCTCAGAAGAAATTGGGTTAAAATCACTTGTCCCACTTTCATCACTTAAAGAAGACCTTGTTTCCTCAAAGTCGTGATCATTTTGTGTAGGTGAAGAAACTTGGGGTACTGGCGCATCTCCGGAGTACAGGACTGGTCGAGTAACAGATAACAAGTTAGGGTAAAACCATTTCGACCGGTTTCTTCTATTAATTC